GTGGCTTATGTCCGTGGTCGTCGCAATTGTGGTGCTCCGGCTCGGCCACTGGCTCCACATAATACGTCATGACTCCCTTCTGGATCATTGACTCCACCAGCTTAATGTAACGCTCCAACACCTTCTTCTCGGTGATTCTAATGTATAGTGTGAACCTGACAAAGTTGATCGGGTTCTTTGCTAGATGCTGCTCGTCCTCCTGTTGTGGCAGCGAGTGAGTGAGTTAGTGATCGATTGATTGACTGATTGATTGAATGAGGTAGGTATACATACCACTAGGGTAGTTGGGTAAGAGGCCAGCTTCTTCTTGAGGTAAGCTAGCAATGAGTTGTAAGCAGCCTGCTCGTTTTGTTCACTGATCAATAGACGCGCTTGGAAGTTGGGCTCATTGAGACTGCTGGAGTGATCGTGGTGATGTTGCTCCATGTTGGGGGCGAACTTCTCGACCTCCTTCTCGTTCATGGCATAGACACGGAAGAATGGGATGACGGCATCGGGCAACGATGGCTCGGATGCTGCTGGTGTTGAAGCATTCGCAAGGAAGACGTGGCCCATGGACGACAGACCGCGCTCCTCCAGGATGTGGATCTTCTCGTGCATCATGGGTTCGGCAGGGTCGAGCTGCAGCTTGAGCTTGAAATTGTCGTAAGGGTTGTTCTTTAGACAGAAGCCGCTGTAGAGCAGCAGCTGGACGTTGTTGCGGTCGCCATAGTGGATGTACACTTGGTCGCCAGCCTTGAACGGCTTGACGGCCGAGCATGTGAGTGCATGGCGATCAGTCTCGTAGAAAGTGGTGATGCGGCCACTCACCAGATGGTTGCACAGGTCCCAGAATGGCACCAGTGACATCTGGCTGCCGTGGTAGTGGCCGTGGCCACCCTTTGGGGGTGCCGTCAGCGGGATCTGGTTCTGGCGTGACATCAACGTCGACAGGGCCCACACGTACATCTCCCAAGTGAAGACGGACGTGGAGACGATGCCGATGTTCTTGGTCAAAAAGTCGTAGAGGTAGCAGTACTGACGAATGGTGTTCCTGAATGTGTTGATGGCCTCGTCGAGCACGGGCGAGCCCTGAAGCAAGCGATACTCGTCCAATGTGAAGTAGAGTGATGTCTTGTAGGTCTTTGGCAGCATCCTGATGTAGGGAGCCCAGAACGACTGCTTGGCCACCTTCTCCTGGATCAATTGGATCACCAGTGGCATGTTTGGCAGCATCATAAACATGCGATCCTTGGCCACCTTGTCTCCAAACGATTTGAGTGCAGTCTCCTGCGTCATGAACAACTTGTGGGGCACAACAATGAACTCCTCGCCCTCCTTAATATCGGTGATTGCCACCAATCCTGCGCCCTCTGCCAAGTTCTTCACAATCTTAACCTTGGTAAATGTCTCTGCACATCCATTACTAACAAGCCACTGTTGGAATTGTTCAATTATCTGATTCTCTGTTAATACAACCTCTTGTTGTGGTTGATCCTTCTCTATTATTATCATAACATATGATTGATTGATTGATTGAGTTAGTGATGATATTTGATGAGTATCACACTTTGTATTGTACTTACGTGTCTTCTTTAGAGCAGCCTGTAGGTCAATGAGCTTCTGGACATTGGCGTAGGACTTCTCAAACTTATTAAAGTCTGTTACATTTGGTCCTGCATTCTTCTCTTGTTCATCAATGGTGTTGACCCATTCCTTTACAGCTGCCAATGCTTTAATCATTGTTTATCTCTTAATACTCTATATTATATGTATGTTTGAATGTATGAATGTATGAATGTTTAAGTAATGTATGAATAATGATAATGAATGTCAGTTCCAAAAGGTCACATGGTTGTGAAGTCATCATCTCATTGAGTCAACTTCAATTTTTTGAAGATCTTGCCCAATTCTTCCAATTCTTCCAATTCAATTGACTTCAGCCAATCATTTATCAAAGTTCATTCAATCAGACATTAGAGATACAACTTACAATTATAAGTTATATACTATATATATAAAGATGAATCCTGCTGCCTCAATCTGGTGGACTATTGGTGGTGTATCAGGTGCATTAGCTATTTGTACTGGTGCATTCGGTGGTCATGGCCTTAAAGACCATGTCAAGGACCCAAAGAAGTTGGACACTTGGAAGACTGCTGCTAACTATCATCTCATTCACTCTGGTAATCAAAGTCCATCCATGCCATTGAGTGGGCCACTCTCGAGAGTGTTATTCTAACAATCAACCATTCAATCATTCAATTTAGTGGCATTGATGTTGGTACCATTCTCCAAGCATCATGCTATTGCTGGTCCATTGTTATTGGGTGGCACTGTCCTGTTCTCTGGCTCACTCTATGTGTTGACATTATCAGATAAGAAGGTCTTGGTATGTATTAATTCAATCATTTCAATATCATCACCAACATCATTATGATGTGCACATGTACTTTTTATTTTCGTGATGATCCAGTGATGATTACATCACACCAAATCAAATCACTGGGTGTTGGTAACATCTGGCTCACGGACAAAGACCATTTGCTGACTATTGGTCGTCTCTTCCTCACACACATAGGGTGCTGTCACACCACTTGGCGGACTGGCAATGATTGGAGGCTGGCTGGCACTGGCCATACCAAGCATTTAAGCCTGACTGACAGGCTTTTGCTTGCGGCAAATGTAACATGAAGAATAAACGACGACCTTTTGCAAATACACGAGTCGTTCGTTCGTTTGTTCATTCTTGGACAGACACACCTCACCCCCTCATCTTCTCAAGGTGAGGACCACAGGACAACAACAAAACACGACCTCGGACACACCACCCAGGTTGGGTTGACAGCCAGTGATTATGACTCGACCGACCAGTAGTGATCACGATCAACTACACTACACTCCCTGATGTGGTTGGTGGGGTGGCTTCCAAGGACAACCTTGGTGGGTCCCAAAGATCAATCAATCAATCAATCTTTTATTTCTCCACTTGGAAGCTCGTGTCTTTGCCAAGTAAGTAAATAAGAAGTGATCCTCCTACTCCACCTTCTTGGTGTCCTTGGTTGTTGACTACACACATTCATATATCATAGACTTCATCAACATAACCCCCGATATTGGTGGTCCATCTTTGCAAGGCACAAGATCCCCCACAAAACCATCAGATTTCTATTTTTGGTTTTGTTGATCTGATGGTCGTTTTCTTCGGGAGGTGTTTCTACTGTTGCAGTACCTCCAGTATCGTTTACCTGAATCACTCATTCACTCACCTCACAAACTCTCCCACTCAAAGAATCATTGTACATACTTGAAACTACACTTAGGTGTCATCATAACTTAAATAAGTTGTCACAGAGATAATCAATCAATCAATCAGGTTAATCTTTCAAAATATTAATTAAACTACTCTATTAATTGTAAGTATTCGTTTATTTTTAAAATATATATATATATATTGGGAATGCGATGCGACGGCGACCTCTTGAAAAGAGAAGAAGACTACAGATTGGTTCACAATGACAGTGATACATCGTTCAATCAATGCCAATGCCTCCATCCACTCGGCACCCATGAGCTTGGTTCGGGGTCGTCGTGTCCCGAAACATCATTTTTTCTTATTTTTTAGCGCCTACAACTCGCACTCTTCCCATGATACATTCATTCATTCGCAAACACTCACTTGCAGCTTTGCATTGTAATCTGTCAGTGTCAATTACTTACTCATTCATTCATACATTCATTCATTCATTCTCTCTATCTATTTCTACAACTACTACTACAACTACGACTACGACAAGGACTACTTCAAAAAAAACAATCACTGGACTTAAAGATTGCCCTGCACAGTCCAAGAAAGAGACAGACAAACTACAACTATATCAACCAAATCAATCAATCAATCAATCAATCAAAGAAAGAAAGAAAGAAAGTAAACAAACCAAAAGAATGGCATCTGATCAAGGATTGCTACAACTACAACCGATCATGTTGCAGGAGGAGCTTAATCAACATTTGCAAAAGACGTTGGCGAGATACCCGCATGTGGATAGGTCAGAGTGCGAGGCATTCTTGGAGGAGCAGCAAGAGTATTACTTGCGCAAGGCGAAAGAGATGCGCGCACTCTGCACGACATTCACGCAGAACCAGCGCACGTTTGTCGGCGCCATCGACTTCAACCCCGATGTGGACGTGGCCGCGGCCGCCCTACTGACACAGGAGATGACGCAGGCCACTTCGATCATCCGCACCTTCCTCCACTCGATTCACCAGCTGGTGCTGCACACCGAGTTCGTCATTGGCTACAACCTGATGAACAAAATGGCTGACCTTGAGAACCAGGAGCGCCATCTCCACATCCTGCTCAAGGAGATCGAGGCCATTGAGTCGCGAACGATATGCGCGACTCCCGCCATACTGGTGTATGCGCGCCAGCCATTCCCCGGCATCCTTAAGCGATACAAGCAGATCCCAGCCGACGAGATGGTCATTGAGATGCTCACAACATCCAGCTTCCCCTACACCTATGGCAAGCTGCGAATTCATCACTTGACCGATCAGGCCACTCAATATCATCACGATCACAAGTTGCAACCCAAGGATCATGTTGCGACAGAGACTGGCTCATCCGCGACCATCACATCAACTTCGACCTCGACATCGACCTCAACATCATCACAACAACAACAACAACAACATCAACAACAAAAGATGACACATCAATCGAATCAGAAGAACAACTTGTTTGAACAACAATCATTCGATATACAGTTGGAGGGCGGACGATTCTTGGCCAAGGTGCCCATCAAGCTTATGCATGGCACAACACAGTTCTCATCACTGTTCTTCTCGCTCAATCTGATACACAGGAACACAAGACAGGAAGTTCACATCCAGTCAGCACCCTCTGATAAGTTCATCTCCTTTGTCAACGATTCACAATGGGTCCAGTACTTTAGTCTATTACTCAAAGAAGAGATATACGTTGTAAGTTTGATTGACCGTTTGATTGTTTGATTGATTGATGGATCCAGTGCACTAACAATGTTAATCATGCACTATTCCAGCTGGAAAAGGATAAATACCTGTTTGAGAGCGCATCACATGCTCGCATATTGGATATCCTCGAGAAGTACTTCCATCTATGTTTAAAGATTTACAAACGAACGACATCCAGTCATCGTCCACTACCAAAGGATGCCATGAAGGCACTGTTAAACAGAATATCAGGTAAGCATTGATGCCAACATGTTCACAATCAATCAATCACTTACCAACTCAATCAATTCTAATCCAACAGAGAACAGACTGACACTTGAACAATATGATAAGTTTATGTCATTACTCTCTCCATCTCTCAAAGTGATCAAGTACCAACGACACGCTATACAACTCTGGAATCAAGGGTAAGTGTATCCATGTTCCAGGAACCATTTCATCATATCCTAACAATCAATTCACGGTTACAGTCTGATATTCTACTTTATAGACAAGGAGGAAGAGTTGAACTATTTAATGAACAAGGAGGATAGGTTTATGCTTCAGTTCAGCATGGATCTGCCTTATTGTTGGATACTCAAGTATTGGAAGGAAGGCGAGATATGTGAGAGGGTGGTCGATATGAAGGTGCACCTGGCGGGTGACCGTGCCAACAAGTCGGTGGTCAGCTACATCGATGCCAACATGGGCGCATTCAACGAGATGTGTCAATACGACTTCAAGCAGAACACGATCTGCTTTGTCAACAAGGACGAGACGCTGAATCAGGTCAAGAGTTCACAGTCGTAGCATCAACCTTCCGATATCGATCCATACATTCATTCAATCATACATAGATACATACACACCAGCTTGCCAAGCCATGCCATGTGGCATGATAGCATTGCCAATGCTGGAGTCTGCCTTGCCTGCCTCATCCTACATCCCTCCTCCCCTCCCTTTCCACCCTTCCATTCATCTTCCTAGGCTGCCAGCCAATGACTTCCGAGGAAATATTCATTCAATTGGTCACGCCAGGTCAGCTCTCTCGCGTAACCAGATGATTAATCATCCTTGGATTTGGACCAACCAACCCAAACAACTACGCACATCAGCACTCTTTGCATCGAATGATCATCTCTGCATAGATGGTACAATAGATAAAACAATGATCAAGTGATCGATTACATCTTATTATTATTATAATGGACTCTTTAAGTCATTCGCAGATAGTAACAACTTTAAGTCATTTAAATGTTACCAACAACAAATCACACAATATAATGATGATCATTTATGGATGCAACAACCTTTGGATGTTAGAGATACCAAGCCACAATTCGATTAAGCAAGAAGAGAAGGAGTAGGAATGATTGTATCCGATAGCTATCAATGGACACACAACATTATTAATGATAATTGAGCTCAAACTCATAACATTCAACAACTCAAACAACAACATATGATCACAATGAACCACCCACACCTCTCTCTCTCTCTCCTCTTACTACTACAACTAAGTACTTGTTGTTAAATGTTACCAACTAAAGTTTAAAAGCATTGTAGAGTGGTGATGGTGGTAGAGTTGTAGGTATGTGCATGTGGTGGTGTTGATTGAGTGTGTGAGTGCGACGGCACCCGCCTCCATCAAACACATGATCATCTCGCCTTCCAACATAACATACACTGATATATATTAACCTGCTTACCCATTATAATCATCATCCTCAACAACATAGGAGATGTAGGAGGAGAGGGAGAGTATTGTTTAAACCACGCTACTTAGAGTGTGCGCCTCCCTACCCTCTCTGTTTGAACTACAACCATGTGTGTATATAGTGGATGCTGTTGCCACCTCCTCTAAGATAGTAGGCCACACTCTCTCGATGCATTATTAGCCAACACACTCACACACTAGCACTCAATCATTCATTCTTTCATTCATTATACAGGTCATCATCATCTTGGAAGTGATCAGCTGATTGTGTTGGTGAGTTGGAGAGAGTGAGTGAATGAGTGAATGTTAGAGTAGTTGTGGGTTGGGTCCAGCTGAGCAGCAGCAGTAGCATCTACTACTAAGGTGATGGATGTTGTTGGATGCATGCAACGCAGTGAGCTAGCTCAACAACAATCCTTACATTCATCCAACACAACATCCACTTTGGAGCCATTGATCAGTGTAGTTTAGTAGCTCATATATAACATAATATATATACATTACAACATATATATATAATTAACAATTTGACAAGGTGTTAGAGATTATTTAATATATACCTCCAACAACAGACTTTATATATTATTAATAATAACTTGGTTGGTCCAACAACAACTACAACACCTCAACAAACACACAAGATAACTTACGACATCTTCTAGAACAATCATGTTCACGACGCGCCTTCTATTGCTATCTTTGATGGCAGTGGCCGTGGCTTTCGCTGGTAACTATTATTATTATTTTCCAGGATTGATTGGTGGATCAGATAAACTAACATGGATAATATTAATCAATCAATCAAATAATCAAATATTAATGAATAATGAACAATAACAGGAAACACGTGCCAGGACACTCAATGTCCAGTAGATTATTATTGTAAGATGGAGAATGATGGACCAAAATGTTTCTCATTCTCTAGTACCGGAGGCATCGCCGCGGGCGAGGGTCTGGCCATTACCTGTTTAAATATTCGTTGTCCAGCCTATCACACCTGCCAGATGGAGAACAACGTCGCTGTCTGCAAGCCCCAGCAGCAGCCACCAACACAGCCACCCACCCAGCCTCCAAGAGACGCTTGCACCGACTATGACTGTGGATGGGGATTCTACTGCTCCGTCGTCGATGGCGCACCCAAGTGTCTCCCATGGTCGCCAACGCCACCACCAACTGAGCCACCCACCGTGCCACCAACTCAGCCACCCACTGCTCCACCCACCCAGCCACCAACTGCTCCACCTACCGCGCCACCAACTGCGCCACCAACCGCTCCACCAACCATGCCACCAACTGACCCATGTGCCAACTATGACTGTGGCTGGGGCTTCTACTGTATGCTGATTGAGGGACAGGCCAAGTGTCTCCCATGGTCCTCCACATCATCCTCCTCCTCGGGCTCCACCACCGCCCCAACAACCCCAACCCCAAGCCCATGTGACAACTACCTCTGTGACTATGGCTACTACTGCCAGGAGCAGGAGGGCAAGGCCAAGTGTCTTCCATGGACCTCCACCTCGTCCTCGAGCAGCACCACCGCTCCAGTGACCGGTACCTCTGGCAGCACCACCGGTACCCCAGACCTCTGCAGCATTGTAGAGTGCCGTCCAGGTTTCCGTTGTGAGATGAGAAAGGAGATTGCCTTCTGTGTTCCAGACAAGTCACTCGACGCCTGCTTCGGCGTGAGCTGCAACCCAGGCTTCCACTGTGAGGCCAAGGGAGACCTCGCCGCCTGTGTCAGAAACGACCCATGCTCTGACGTTCACTGCAACGTTGGCTTCCACTGTGAGGCCAAGGGCGACCTCGCCGCCTGTATCTCTGACAAGCCAATCGACCCATGCTCAACCACCCAGTGTGGCGTCGGCTACCACTGCGTTGCCCAGGGCAACGTCGCCTCGTGCATCCTCAACGCCGCCCTGTGTGACAGCGTTCAGTGCCCAACCGGATTCAGATGTGTCCACAACGGCACCTGCCTGCACTGTGAGCGCGACCTGTGCTCCACCGTGCTCTGCCCACCCAACTCCCACTGCCAGGTCTGCGGTGATGGCATGACCATTCTCTGTATCGACGACGTCCCATCCACCGTGCCACCAACCCTCCCACCATTCAACGCCTGCCGTAACATCCAGTGCAAGTCTGGTTTCTACTGCAAGCCAATCGGCGACCAGGCCACCTGTGTGCCCATCCCTCCCATCTGGGATTGAGCTAGACCCTGTTGATCATCATCAATCAATCAAACCTTAATCTTAACTATTCCATTCATTCAATACAATCAATCAATCAATCATCATCACCATCACCTAATACAACAACAATAACAACAACAAACAACATCAATCATGATGGGGGCCATGGTCCTCCATGCCAGTGCCAAGCAGTGCATCAGCGAACGATATGTTGCGAGATGTCGCTGGCAAGTGACCTTGTCCACCAGACATCCAAACCTTAAACTACAACAATAAATAACAAACAAGTTATAATGTTAACTCTCTGGGATTATTAATCTTGTACCTGACAAGCTGAGAGCAACTTCGTCGGCATCCATTGACGTCGACAACTATGACTCATTGACTATGTCCCATAAATTAAAGGATAACCCCCACACCAACTTCATCATTCTAAGTTCATTCATTTGATCATTCAATACTATTACTTCTTGTACATACACATACACATATACATACTCCTACACTTACATATACATAACATGAATAGAACAGTTGGAAAACAACAGGAGGAAGACGAACAGTCAAAGCCAAGGCATCAACATAATCAACTGAAACATAGTCAATTGGCAAAGGAACCTCCTCTTCCACTGTCAGTCTTGTTCATACTCTTTGCTATTGCACTAGCCTGTATATTCTTCCTCTTTCTAAAGTTCCCAAGTCTTAAAGAGTATTGTATAATAGTGCAATAGAATAGATCAATCACTGCTACTAACGCATACATACATCAAAGTGAACACAAGGCCAATATCAAACTACCAACCAGTTTCGAAGATGTACAGATGTTAAGCGATATACTATCACAATACACAGATGACAACTACTTTATAGTCATTAGTACCTTTGCTCTAATATATATATTGTAAGTACTTACAATGATTGATCATTGAACCATGTACTAATCAATCAATCAAACAATCAATCATAGTCTACAGGCATTCTCAATACCAGGTTCAATATTCTTAAGCTTCTTATCTGGTGGATTGTTTGGCATATGGGTTGGATTCCCTTTGGTATGCGTGATCGCAACGATTGGCGCGACATGCAGCTACCTGATATCATATTACATCGTTCGTAACTTGGTGATGAACTTCTTCCCAGACAAGTTGGAGCTGTTTGCAACAGAGGTGGGCAAGCGACGCGCAAGCCTCCTGAACTACATTATATTCCTACGTATCACACCATTCTTGCCCAACTGGTTCATCAATCTGGCGTCGCCTCTGCTCGACGTTCCAATCAGCACCTTTGCCATTGGCACATTCATTGGCATCATGCCAGCCACGTTCCTGGCGGTCAAGGCCGGTCTGGCCATCCAGGAGATCAGCAAACCAGGAGATATATTCGATTTCAAGTCTGTGGCCTCGATGGCTCTGCTCGCAGTTCTATCAATCGTGCCCACATTGGATCCAGTTCGTCGTCGCCTCGACAAGCTACTCAATCGAACTGGTAGCACGCCAGACTCTTCGCCCAAGCTTCACAGTCAATAAATCAATTCTTGGAATACCCCAACTAAGTTGAGACCCAAAAGTGGGACATGTCTCTAGTACTCTCTACATTCTTTCATTCATTTTACGTCTACATATGTAAACAAATAATAGAATGAATAATAGTAGTATACAAGCATTACCATTTGTATTGATTAGGACAATTATAGATCTGTTGAAACCTAATCTTTTGGATGCTTTATGTCTTGGATTAACTTGTAAGAAATTATTTCTACTTGTTGATAATAGATTGCCAGAGTTACAACTCAACTGCCAAACAACAACAATAACAACAACAAAGATCGATGGTTTATCAATTGAAAAGAAAAGAGATAGAATCTTAATGTACACTGATATAACTGCACCAAAAGGATCAGTTCTTAAATCAGTCATTCACTTGACATTTGGTCCAAAGTTCAACAAACCACTCAAGTCTGGTATACTACCGACTTCCATCACAAAGTTGGTATTTGGCATTGCATTTAATAACATACTCAAACCTGATGTGCTCCCAGAGTCGCTCACCTACTTATCCTTCATTGAGACAAGCAAGTTCAATCAAGTTCTTGTTCCAGGATCATTGCCAAACAAACTGCGAACACTAAAATTTGGCATCTATTTCAACACTGAGCTCATTGTCGGTGTTCTGCCCCAATCACTGACCGGTCTGTCATTCACATCATATGACCATTGTCTGGGACCAGGCATCCTTCCACCATCACTTGAGTCCCTAGATCTTGGACATGGCTACACAATGAATTTGCCGGACAATGGCCTCCCTCAATCACTTCGATCGTTAAAGACCATATCACCATCATGTTGCAAGTTCACAAGTAACAACCTACCAAGATCATTAACTAGTTTGAGAATGCCTACATCTTATAAGTACAGTCTGGAGCCTGGAGTACTCCCCGACACTCTTATTTATCTGGACATTGGCTTTGACACTCGCACATATAATTATACCTTCTTTCAAAAAAAATATACGAGACATCTCAAACCTGGGGCACTACCTAACTCCCTTACCAGTTTGAAAGTAGGCTACTTAAGCAACTTTATGGCACCCGGTGTATTGCCCCAATCCTTAACGGAGCTAGCATTTTCATGCGGATCACAAGAGCCAATCACTTCACTACCAACATCAATTGTTCACTTGGACCTTGGAGATAGCTTCAATCAACCACTCAATTTCATCAAAGAAACAGATCACATAACATATGAGTTTGTGTATCTTCTACCAAGTCTCCAGTCACTCTACCTAGGAAATGCATTTGATCAAACAATTAACCCTGGAACCTTGGGCAATACTTTGACCGAGCTAAAGTTTGGACAAATGTTCAATCGACCTCTTCTCCCAGGCATCCTACCAAAGACACTTAGGTCCTTGGTGCTTGGAGAGAAGTTCAATCAAAAGATCAACAAACTAGGGGTACTTCCAATGTCACTACAATCTCTTGTTGTTGGCAAATGCTTCAAGAATGGTATTGACTTCCCCAGACTATCAAGCTTGACAATCGATTCTTTCTCCCAAATAACCTACATCCAATCCAAATGTGATTCACTTTACATTGCCACTTGCAAGACGGACAGGCCGCCTCCCACTCTATCGACACATTACAATTTGTTGGACATCAGAGTGATATCACCAAACAGACAACTAGCTTTGTTTATCAAAATGATATTGGTGTCCATCCCTAATGTGATCAATTACAACATCCACTTATACGGTAATTCATACGAGATCAAGGTGCGCAAGCTTGATGAGTACCGGTCAGTGGTCATTGTCAACAAGAATCTCTACAGGACCAACTTCCATCAAACATTGAACCCCGATGACTTCCAACTCTCGGCACACTTCTTCACATTGGATAGTTTTGGAGCGAAACAAACGATGATGCTGAGGACAGAGGTGGAGTCACTAAAAGAGTTAGTCAATGGGCTGAATAAGCAGCTGGCTGAATCAAAGGAGACAAATGCCAATCTTCTCCATGCCCTAGCAGCAAAGGATGAAATGATTCCTCATCATAACCAGGTACATGATGTTTCTGAAAAGTCCACTGGGGTCACAAGGACAAAGCGACCTCTATTGGAGCATGAACGAGATAGATCCAAAGACAAGAAGAGTAGGAAATAAAATGAATGAATACAATAGTATCTAGAAGGTTTATGTTGAGGATGAGTGCTAGGGTAGATGATCCGGTGATCGCGCTGGCCAATCTTTGATTCGAAGGAATGAGACACAGTCCCACTCTCTATATCCACTGATAAAGTCATACGTGGGGTAAGAGCGCTCATCCAAGTGCTTCTTGATTTGAGCATAATCGCAGATATCAAAACAGATGTTGTCAATGGTCGTTGGCTGGTAGTCGTATGACAATTCGGAGAGGACTTGCTCGATGTCTTTGTATTCCTTCTCTGTGCGCTCTGTCATTGCAGCCGGGTCATCGAATGGGTCCATTGAGTGTTCTGGGTCGGTCAGGCTCAGATTGAGTGTGTGCAACCCAGTGCCGCGCAAAACACGAATTATATAATACTTCTGGTCGTAAGTGAAGTACATGTAGTCGCCTAAATACAAGCTGGCCAGGTTCCTGTTGGTCTTGAGGAAGACCAGGAACTCCTCAAAGTTCTCCTCAGTTAGGTAGTGGCGGTGATCGAGCATCACAAGTCGCACAAGGTTGGTGCAAGGGTTCATCGATATGAATGATGTAAACACTGGCACGGGTATCTCATCGCGCAGCGTGAGTCTCCTGAGGTTGTCCGACAGCTTGGTCATGCCAGTGGGTGACAGACGCATCGAGAAGATGTTGGGATTGTTGGAGACACTCATTAGCAGATCGGCGCCCACGCCAAATGGAACACTGAGCATGGTTATGTTGCTTGACTTGATGAAGGGTATGAGTCCAAGATGGAAGTCGCGTATCTCTGCGGCAGAATAGTCAAAGAGATAGGGCAGCTTGAGCATCTTGAGGTGCTTCAGTGTGGTCAATCCATGCAGCAATGTCTCCAGCTTGCCCACGTACAGCTTCTTAAAGTGCAGACGTTCAATGCGACTCTTGGCCAGAATGGCAAACAGCTGCTCCATGAACCTGGTGGTGTTGCGTCTGAGGTCATAGTCGATATCGTTAGGGTCGCCCTTGTCCTTGTTGAGCGAGATGAATGTCAGTTTGGTCAGGGTCGGTGCGGTACGCTCCAGCAACTGTAGTATTGCATCATGTTCGTATATATCGGTGAGGAAGCTGATTGAGATGATCGAGAGGTTGGGAAACTCATAGCCGTTCATGTACTGCAGACAGATGGGCAGGTCCTCCTCGATGGCCAGTCGCAGATTGATCTTGGTCAGCGAATCCTTGACGTTGTTCAACAGAGTCTTGACGGTGCACTCGTGCTCATGGAGCGGTGTGATGCCACGATGGCCAAGATAGATGCGGCTGAGACGTTTGAGCAAGTCATTGACAAGATCCTCGTCGTTGTTCTTGATGAACGCGTCAAAGTCCTCGACGGTGCCGAACGTACTGTTGATGTGCTTGATAGGTGACAATGGATTGTTGTAGTGATATTTGAAGTCAATCCTACCGAATGTCTCACTACTAAGTATTGTTAGAAGTGATGATACTCGTTTAAAGAACATCTTTGATACCAAAGATAATGATAACTTCCATTCAACACTCGCAAACAAGTCTGCAAAGCTATAATCAACGATTGTTGCTAATACATATTGTGGTAAGTCTGGTATTATAATGATATCTGTAGATGTTGTAGTTGTATCGCCCATATTATATCTCTATCTCTTTCTTTATCTTTATCTCTATGTGTATGTGTGTGTTTGTAACAAGTGTTTATAAATGAATGATCTTGAATCAAGGGTCACCCCCTTCATTTTGTTAGTCAACTTTCACATTGCCTTCATTCATTCATTGTTCGTGAACTTGGGTGCATGTTCATGAGTTAGATAATATATAGCTAATATAAGTAACATATATAGATATGACGATCAAGGTTGTACCTTTGGGTGCAGGACAGGATGTAGGTAGGAGTTGTGTCATTGTAAGCATTGGTAACAAGAACATTATGTTTGATTGTGGAATGCACATGGGATATCACGATGAACGTCGATTCCCCGACTTCTCCTTCATCTCCAAAACAAAGCAGTTCACCAAAGTACTGGATTGTGTAATCATCACTCATTTGTAAGTGTCATCATCATCAACAACATCATGATCATTCACTAATCAATCATTCAATCACATTAGCCATCTGGATCATTGTGGCGCATTGCCTTTCTTCACAGAGATGTGTGGATATGATGGTCCTATATATATGACGGTATGATGGCAACAACGACAACTGACAGCTACATTACTCACTTACTTACTCACTCACCTCTTTGTTCGTCACAGCTCCCGACCAAGGCAATCGTACCTATACTCTTGGAGGACTATCGCAAGATATGTGTGGATAGAAAGGGCGAGACCAACTTCTTCACGCCTCAGATGATAAAGGATTGCATGAAGAAGGTGGTACCTATTGCATTGCATCAGACGATACATGTGGACGACGAGTTGTCGATCAAGCCATACTACGCAGGCCACGTGCTTGGTGCAGCGATGTTCTATTGCAAGGTGGGCGAAGAGAGTGTTGTGTACACGGGCGACTACAACATGACACCCGATCGACATTTGGGCAGTGCGTGGATCGACGCCGTGCATCCGACATTGCTAATCACCGAGACAACCTACGCCACCACCATCCGTGACTCGAAGCGTGGCCGTGAGCGCGACTTCCTCAAGCGAGTGCACGAGTGCGTGGAGAAGGGCGGCAAGGTGCTGATACCAGTGTTTGCGCTGGGCCGTGTCCAGGAGCTGTGCATCCTGGTCGACACGTACTGGGAGCAGATGGGTCTGAACGTCCCCATATACTTCTCCGAGGGCCTGGCCGAGAAGGCCAACTTCTACTACAAGCTGTTCATCACATGGACCAATCAAAAGATCAAACAGACATTCGTCAAGCGCAACATGTTCGATTTCAAACACATCAAACCGTTTGATCGAGCGCTGATCGATGCGCCCGGCCCCATGGTCCTGTTCGCCACGCCGGGCATGCTGCACGCGGGTGCCTCGCTCGAGGTGTTCAAGAAGTGGGCGCCCAACGAGCTGAACATGACAATCATCCCGGGCTACTGTGTCGTGGGCACCGTTGGCAACAAACTCCTGTCAAACAGCGGGCCTCAGACCGTGGAGATCGACAAGAAGACAACATTGGACGTGCGCTGCAAGATACACAACCTCTCATTCTCGGCGCATGCCGACGCCAAGGGCATCATGCAGCTGATCAAGATGTCGCAACCCAAGAACGTTTTGTTGGTGCATGGCGAGAAGGAGAAGATGCGCTTCCTGAGCGAGAAGATCATACGCGACTTCAACGTGCCATGTTACTTCCCGGCAAATGGTGTCACGGTGCACATTGAGTCGCCCAAGAGCATCCCCGTCGACATATCGATCAAGCTGCTCAAGAGACAGATTGCCGAGTACTCTCAGGAGAACAGCAGATCATTCACTCAAACAGACACAGACATGCTCGAGAATGACGAGGTGAGCGATGCCGAACATCACTTGGCCAAGAAGTCCAGAGCGCCAATCGTGTCGGTGCCAATCCAAGGCATCATGGTGGCCAAGGGTTTCCAGAGCATCAAGTTGCTAGACCCTAGCGAGGCGCCCAGAGAGGTGGCCGTCAACAATGTTCAGATGAACTTCATACTGTACTGGAAGTTGACTAGCGAGGTCAAGGACTGTGTCGAGCTTCTGTATGTCGAGCTGCGCAAATGGCTGGGGGGCACATCAATCGAGCGAGTTAACAACAACCTGATTGTCGTCAAGTCGTCCATATCGATCGAGTTTGACAAGACCTTGCTTCAGTTCACCATCAAGTGGTCGAACAAAGAGGAGTACCTCTCTGAGCACATCCTGTCCATCCTTCAGAACCTATTCCCAAAGAATGAGTGATCGGGTTACAGAGTGATCAAGCCGACCGAGGCCTGATCTGTCGCTCAATCAAATAACAAACCTGTATAAACTGTCAGTCAAGCATGCTTGTGAGCATACTTGTATATCCTCTGCCAACTGCTGTGTCTGTCATCTTGTCGCTAATCGTCGTGTCTGCGAGTGCACCTGTCCTTGGTGATCATGTGATCGATTGATTGATCATCGTCATTATTATGATATATTACACCATTAATCATGGTCCATAGGTTTATTACAACAAATGCTAATCTATCGCTGTGTTGGCTATCGCAGTTGTTGATGATATCGATTATAAATGTATAACTGTTGTGTCTTAATCTTCGTTCAACAAGTGTCCCTTTGGGTTGACGGCCTATTGTTTGATTGATTGATTATGATGAGTTAGTAGTTCGCTCGCTCGTATCAGTGAATGACTTTACATACCCATTGGGGAGGAGGGATGTTCCTTTGCCACTTTGATCCACCTGGGGCATCACATGCTAATAGAGGAGGGGATGTTAGACGTCATGCAACGTGTCCGACCATCATGACGAACTTACGAATGTAAGGATCTGGATGATCCCAGTAGTTTGAGAAGCTCTCAAACTCCTTCATATACTTCTTGACCAAGAATGGGTTGGTCTCATCCTTGCGAGACTTTAGTACGCTACGCAAGTCTGAAGCGTTTGCCAAGAAGTAATCATAGTCCTCAGAGTAGTCTCTAATCGACTTGAGACATTTCCTGTACATCCTAAACACCTTTTGTGAGTGAGTGAGTGCAGACATCCTTCTCTCTCTCTTTATATATATATATATCAATGTTATAAAATGTCTACAAGTATAATGATTGATCAAATGAATGATCGGAAGTTTGAAGATTCCAAACTTTTGAAAAAAAGTGATCCAAAGTGCTAAAGTTCCAAGTTTGAGCATTGGAATGAAGCTGGAAGTTAATTGCGAGCTTTGGTGATGGACCAGCATTAAACAAGAATGAAGAGATAGATAATTGATTATAAGATGGTGGACATACCAATACTAGTTATAGGACATATAATGTCATTGATAGAGGATAATGTTGATAAGGTATCAATGATATTAGTTTGTAAACAATGGTTTGCTTCAAGATCAAAGTTCATTCAATACACTAGATACTACCCTGTACAAACACCTACGTCATTGAACAACACTACACAATACATTGATGATGAAGATCATGATGATGATAACTATGATGATAATCAACATGAACAATACTTGACAAATGTTGTATCAACTCTATTAAACATAAACATAAACATAAACAAAGTCAACAACAACAACAATAACAACAACAATCAACATGATGATACTCCAACAAACAACACCAAATATGGATTGATTACTCAATCACCGATAATATTGTTTCCAGAGGGACAGGCATCAATCAAGAAGTATGGTGGATGTATTGCAAAGTATAATCCAACACGTGGATTGGGATCATGGATAGTTGGATCCAACTCAACGATCTGGCCACAACAACTCATTCAGTATCAGCATGATAAGAAGAGAATGGTGTTCAGCGGGGACTTTAGACAACACATTGGGCCGAATACTATACCATCGACAGTGACATCGATCTTCTTCCGAGGCCAGCGTGTGCCAACATTCCAAGAGCACTCCATCCCAACATCGGTCACACACGTTGAGTTCAGAGGTCAGTTCATTCAGCCGTTGGAGATTGGACACATCCCTCATTCAGTCACGAGCTTATCATTCGCTTCGGAGGCACATTGGCCACAAGGACAACCTGGTATACTCCCAGACTCAATCCGCACACTCTCCCTCCATGTCAACGATCCCGTCTATCCTGGAATGATCCCTCACTCAGTCACCAAGTTGATGCTGGGTGAGTATTACAATCAACCGTTGGAGGCCAATGTCATCCCGTCATCCGTGACATATCTGTCGTTGGGCGGCCATTTCAATCATCCAGTTCTCCCAGGACAAATCCCTTCGTCAGTGATCAAGCTACGATTCGGATATGCCTTCAACAAAGAGTTGACACCAGGTGCCATCCCCACGTCCGTGATCAAACTACTGTATGGACATCAATTCAATCAGAAGCTACACACTAAGCAATCACTCTTCCGTGCCCTGAGATCAATCGGGAAAGGAGGATCCATGAGTGAGACTCATCTCATCCCGTCATCCGTCACCAAGTTGGCATTCGGTTACAAGTTCAACCAAGTGATTGAGCCTGGTGACCTACCCTCAACACTCACAAGCCTGAGTTTTGGATCGGTATTTAGCCAACCTCTCATTCCAGGCTCCATCCCAGCAGCGATCAAAGAGGTGTCCTTTGGCAAATCGCTCTCCATTCCAATCGCTATGGAATCCTTTCCAACAACTGGCTGGCTACGCATTCGGGTGCCCGCAACACATAAGCATCCGATCGTCCCAATGGCAGGCCAGTCAATTCACCTGTTGATAACACTAGACTACTCCGATACTCTTGGCAAGGTGTTGATTGATTCGATTACCAATCATTCGATACCATCCTGTACATTGATTGTGCTGCGCGATTCGACAATGTCCATCATTCAAATACGATCCTACTTCAAAGACCATATGTTTGTAGTTGCAGACAGTGTCCGAATGGGCTTCATCCATCATTCAGAACTGTTCCAGCTTCTAACAAGACTTGTGTCAAGAGCAAGTCACGAATCATTGAGATGTATCTATGACCCACTGTTCTGATTGATGCTCATCACATTGATTGATTGATTATGAATAAAGTCCATTGATGAATGCATGGATCGATCACTTTATGAATCTCGTCAAGAACTTCCTTGCAAAGTCATTCCTGGTTGTATCATTGATGAATCTCTTCTTCGTCACAGGTTCATCCCTTGCTTGATTCTTAAAGATTGAGTCGTCAAACCATCTACAAGTTGATTGAATGAATTCATGAGTGTTAGTTTGGTCGTCTTCGTCTTATCATGTTGGTATAAACACACTTCTTCTTCATTGAATAGTCATCACCACCTCCGGCACCATTGTTCATCAGTGGATTACCAGAGAGCAACTGTTCCTGTCTCATACGCTTCTCATCCTCCATCGCTGCCATCTCCTTCTTCTTTTGTTTCTCTGCATTCTCTTTCTTTAACTTCTCCAACTCACGCATGAGCTCCTCCTCATCATCTTCATCGTCACTATCACTGTCATCACTATCATTGCTACTGTTGTCATTATCATCTGCATCATCCTCTGATGAATCAGTATCATCAGCATCTATATTCTTTACACTATTATTTGTTCTTGTTGTTCTTGTTGTAGTTGTTGTCGTCGTTGATGTTGAAGATGTTACATTGTCCTCCACTTCTTCTTCATCTCTGTCTTGGTCATCGTCTTGATTGTCATCACGTTTCCTCTTCTCTGTTGTTGTAACATTATGTTGTTGTTGTTGCTTCTTCTTTGGCAATAGATCTTTAAACTCCTTCTCTTTCTGTTCACGTATTTCACGATCTCTTTGTTCTTTCTCCTTCTGTTCTTGTGCGGCAGCTCCTACATCCGATCTCAACTTTAGCTTTGTATGAGCTGCAATATCTTTAGAAGAGTATAGCTTTGAAGTGTACTTTGGTGCTGACATGATATAATGTATCTATCTCTATCTCTATCTCTATTAGAATACAGTTGTTGAAATTATCTCTGTAGTCTGGATGATGATGTTTAGTGAAGGGGAGTTCATTCCCTTTGTTCACATTCATTTTAATTTCAAACTTACTACGAGCGAACTAAGAATAACAAAGAAATAACAACATAAAATACACTACGAACCAACCATGCTTATATCTCTACCTCTATATGTAATAAGAATAATTGTATCATATCTTGACAACTTTGCTGTATATTGTCTTATATTGGTTAGCAGAAATATCTACTTTCAACAATGTAGCATTGCACCATCATTGGATTATCACTTTATAGAATGTGAAGAAATAACAAATCATCATGATTCACTACTTAACAAACCACTTTACATTGGATACGTCCAACCCTCAGTGACACATCTATCGCTCGGCAGATTTAATTGTCCCCTTGAAGATGGACACATCCCACCTTCGGTGACACATCTATCGCTTGGCAGATTTAATTGTCCCCTTGAAGATGGACATATCCCACCTTCGGTGACACATCTATCGCTCGGCAGATTTAATTGTCCCCTTGAAGATGGACACATTCCACATTCAGTGATACATCTATCACTTTCATCATTCGATCAACCTCTTCAAGTTGGACACATTCCAGATTCAGTGACACATCTATCACTTCCATCATTCGATCTACCTCTTCAGGTTGGACACATTCCAGAGTCTGTGACATATCTATTAATGATATTTTTCGATCAGCCACTTCAAGTTGGACACATTCCAGAGTCTGTGACAAATCTATCGCTCTCATATTTCAATCAACCTCTTGAAGTTGGACACATACCACAGGCTATGAAATATCTATCATTTATAGAATACGATCATCCACTTCAAGCTGGACATATCCCACAGTCTGTGACATATCTATCAATGGACAGTTGCGGGGGACACAAATACGATCAAAATGAAGAAGAACAATATCTTCCGCCTCTCCAAGCTGGGCATATTCCGCAGTCAGTTACACAGTTAAAATTGAAAAAGTACAACCAAGCACTTCAAATTGGACAAATTCCACATGCATTGACACATCTATCATTTCAATGCTATGATAGACCACTTCAAATTGGACACATTCAACAGTCTGTGACATATCTATCATTGGATACTTTCGACCAACCTCTTCAAGTTGGACACATTCCACCGACAGTGACATATTTATCATTAATATTATTTAATCAACCTCTTCAAATTGGACACATTCCAGATTCTGTTACACACCTATCATTGGAATGCTATGATAAACCACTTGAAGTTGGACACATTCCACAGTCTGTTACACACATATCGTTTGGTGGCTTCAATCAAACACTCAAACCCGAGTTTATTCCATCTGTTTCCTCAATGTTCATGCCATTTACTCAATTCATATCTACAAAGAATCTTTTGCTGCTCAACGACTCTGATTTGAACAGAATTACCCATCTTATCACTTCAATTGTATCCAAGAAATATCCATATAGAACATTACAAAAGAAAAATACTAGTAATGGCGTTCTGTCCTCTCTTTTCTACTTACTGGAACGTATTCAAACAATAACTGTACAAATTCGATCACATCCTAAATCAGAGATTCATGTGGATAGTACTTGGAGGCGAATTGATGACAAAGTTGCCCTGATGGTTCATGATAAAGGAGCATCATTTTGGACATCCAACCAATAAATTAGTTCCTGTTGCAACAGAACTTCATTTACACAGGCTAACAAGACTATGATCATTTTATCACACATGATTTTGATGAGTGTCGTTTGGAAATCGATCACACCACATCTCATTAACCCTTAGGAGTTCTGTGTGGGTAAATGAATAATTAGTGGTGCTCACCATCACAAGTGATTAAAGAGGGTTCGACATGCGTTGGTTGTTGTCAAGTAACACGCGCTTGGCATTGCCCTTAGCACACCAACATCATCCGATATCGCTCACTACTCCTCCCTCCCTAACTTGCAGGTGCCCACTCGCCCGCCCGCCAAACACATATAAGTAGGTCATAGCACAAACAAACAAACAATCACAACACATTGTCATCACCATCTAACATTCACATGGATTGATGGATGGTCTACTCTCTCTATTCAATATACCAACAGGTGAGGGTGTTGGCACTGAAGCTTCAAGGCGCCAACAATCAAACAAACAAACATTGGCAACATTTATAAACCATCAGCTGCAACAACAATAACAACAACTCAATAGTCCGATCGCCATATGTATATACATGCTCCCCTTCATCCCCAACACAGGCTCATTGTCATCAACAATAACATCAACACACACATATATACCAATTAAATGATGTTGTGATTGTTACCAAGGTAGACATAAATAAGTGAGTGAGAATGAATGAGTGAATTGGAATAGTGACCCAACAGCCAGCCATCACTCGCGCTTCTTCCAATCAACCCAACACCTCTCGTCACCATCCATCCATCCATCCAGCCCAGCCCAGTCCAGTCCAATCCATTCCCAATTGTTCATTGCCTTCTCACATTGCAACGGCCTTTGCATGATCTTACAACAAGATAGTATATTCCCTCCCAATCAATAATCAAGTTTCCAAGATTCCCAAGTCCTCATTTTCCACATATTCAATCATACTGATCAAACATAATGATCGCCAAAGAATATAGTCGTCCAAACGATCAATCAATGATGATTCACTTCCAGCCAATCAACAACAACAACAGGAATAGCAATGCCTCAACCTCAACTTCATCAACAACATCATCAACACGTGATGCCTTAGATCTAATGAACCGATCTTTGACCATAATTGCACCGGCACAATACTTTAGAAAGGGACATATTACAGAGATGTACTTGGATAATAATAAGATCAAGGAGATACCTTTGGACCTGATTTATCAGACTCCCCTGCTCGTGGTGGCCAGCTTCAACTCGAATTGTTTGAACAGCCTGCCCAATGAGATCCGCGAGTGGACCCAACTGTCCATACTACACCTGAACTCCAACAGTTTGAGTTCACTACCTGCATCAATCACAGAGTTGGAGCATCTCTCATTGATCAGTCTCAAGTCCAACCAGTTTGAGAGGCTGCCCAGTCTACACCTTTGCCCTTCAATCAAGTCAATCAATCTGGACAACAATGACAAGCTACCACAGTTCATCAAGAGGCTCTACTCTTTTGCATACCCATCTCATAGTCGAGTGAGTGCCACGCTGACAATGGCCATGGACATGGGCGAGTCCTTGTCCGATACATCGTCATCCTCATCTGAACCCAGCTCCAAACTTCCACATCTACATATCAACCATGCTATTGACATCTCGCCAAAGACTCCACGTAGGAGTGTTGTGCATTCTAGTCCAGACTATGGATGTGTGCGCAGTCTCAACCTCGAGAGCTCATCATTCACCAGCTTCCCATTCATGACTGGTCAATCACTCCTGTCACTGAGATCTCTGCTACTTGGTGACAATCCAAAGATTGAAATTGAGAGTTGTCGACTCCAATGGAGTGCATTCCGACACCTCGAGTCCATCAGTATCGACCGCTGCCATCTCCAATCAATACCAACAGGTCTCACCAACATCAAGACCCTCACCGAGTATGTATACATACTCATTCAATCAATCACAGACTGACTCACTCAAAAAATTAATCAATCACAGACTTAACCTGAATAGTAACATGATTAGGACGTTACCACCTGACATTGAGAAGTGGACTAGATTGAAGACGTTGCAGTTGTCTAATAATATGTTGACATACTTGCCAACATATATGGATCAATTGACATGTCTAAGTACATTGATACTCAATGGAAATAGATTGATTAATGTTGATGTCATTGTCCGTATTCCTACATTGATCGAGCTCAACCTCGACAACAACATGTTGACAGTTTGTCCAGGCGAGCTATGCAAGGAGCTGCATCAACTGAAGATATACTCTGACAAGGACAACCCATTCTCAATCAAAGCCACACATGGTCATCATCATCAGAGCTCAACAGCATCCATCTCCAAATCAACATCCGCCCCACTCAAGGTGGTCACATCGCCAAACGTATGCATGTCTCCACCATTGTCATGCGTCTCACCTAGCCGAGGAAGGGCTCCGAAGTGCACTACCATGACACCTGGACATCGACAGCGATCAGAGAGTTTGGTGTCCAGTCCAGACTGCCAGATCACCGTTGGCAATCATTTGCAGCAA